TATGTGATGCAATTTTAGGAGTTTGTGCATGATGAAAAAGGAATGCAATTTCCCCTTTTTTTAAAACAGAAAGTGGAAAGGGCTTTCTTTTGTTTATTGAGATCACAAGTTACCTTCCATCACATTTCCAGCTTGGTCCACTCTCTTGTGTCTATCAACCAGCTGGAAGTAGTTTTAGTTTCATACTTACTAATATGAATAGTCCCAAAAATATATTTAAACTGTTAATAGTCTTTTTTGTTCCAAATTAAAATGTTTGTCACTTTTTTGCTTCACAAGAGTTATACCAAGAAAACTTCAATTAATATTTTAAATCACATCACCGTTTTGGCGTAAATAAAATTCTCTTTTTCAGTATTCCTTTTTAATTTCTAGATGTATAAAATTCTCTTTTTCAGGAATAAAGGTCCATTTTTTCCTAAGTTCGTTAAGAAAGCAAAATTAAAGCCATCTTCTTTGAATGCTTCTCAAAGTGATGAGCACTTAGATTTGTGTACCACTCTCCACCATAGGCATTATTGGAGTAAAATTGAGGGAAGACTTTCATTCTGCCAAAAGCTACAATATTTTACTATCCAATTTCCTGCTCAGCTCCTGAGCTCGCCAAGAAATCAGCACAAAAGCTTGTGGACTAGGCCTCATTTGCTTTTATTAAAATAAAAACGTTTGAACCGTATACACCTATAAATATTAAGATGTGTATTGAAATTTGAATATTGAATAATTAGGCATTTGAATGTATAAAACTAATTAATATAAAATTCACCTAAAATACTAATTAATCTATTATTATATCAATAAATTATTTTTTAAAAATAATATGATATTTGATAGTGGTTGTGGGTGCCGACTAGGGTGGTAGTTGGTGGTTGGTGGTTGATGGTGTTGTGGTTGTGGATAGTCGCTAGTAGTGACGGTGGCTAGCAATAACAGTTAATAATGGCGGTTGATAATGGTCATTATTGGTGGCGGCTAATTATTGTGGTGGATGATAGTAATAGCTAATGGTGATGGTGGCAGATAGCTATGATTGGCGATATATAATAATGGTTGATGCGGTGACTGTCGTTGTGCCTATGATTGTGTGATAACATTGGTTGGTGATGATGAATTGTAATATGTGGCTAGTGGTGGTGATTGTTGACGCGGTGAATCGACAGTGGTGGTTGTAATTGAGGGTATGCGATTGTGGGTCGTGGGTGGTGATAGTTGATAATGATGGATGGCGGCAACGGTTAGTGATGAAAGTGGATGATAGCATCTTAATGATGATATATATTAAGATTTTGTTATAGATTATAATCACTCAAATCTATTGCACACTAGAGCGTGGTGTGTGTTTTACAATATGTACAACTAGGGGTATTCATGGTTCGGTTTAGATCGATTTTTCCCTCAAAAGAAACCAAATCAAGTAAGTCACTTTATCAAATATTGAAATCAAACCAAACCAATTAAGTCGGTTTTTTATCAATTCGATTTTTGTCAATTTTTCGAGTTTTTCGGTTATTTATCGTTTTTTTTAAAAAATGGGACATACATTACTAAATACATATTCCGGTGACTACATTTTTAACGTAACACTGTCAAACCAATTGCTCTCTGAGAAATCTATCATTTACCACGATATATTGATGATAATTGAATCAAATAGTGATGAATAATTTAAGAAATCTATCATTTACCAAGATATATTGATGATAATTGAATCAAATAGTGATGAATAATTTAAGAAATCTATCATTTATCAAGATATATTGATGATAATTGAATCAAATAATGATGAATAATTTAAGAAATCTATCATTTACCAAGATATATTGATGATAATTGAATCAAATAATGATGAATAATTTAAGAAATCTATCATTTACCAAGATATATTGATGATAATTGAATCAAATAATGATGAATAATTTAAGAATTAATTAAAAATAGATTATTTGTCTGGATAAGACTGATAAAATTCCAATTCCTCGAGCTGATCTAAGTAGTGAAAATCATAGAGGTCTTTGCGACTACGAAAGTCTTTGCGGGTGCCATGTATTTGTGACTTCTTTAAATTGGGAAATAGTCTAAAGAGAGAAACAGTACAATACCAAGGATTCCTAAAGAGGAAGAGGAAGACGATGAAGAAGAAGAAACATATAAATCAGCTTGAGGAATTGAAATACAACAACCCAGTATAATCTCACTAGTGGGGTCTGGGGAGGGTAGTGTGTACGCAGACCTTACCCACAACTCAGTATAATCTCACTAGTGGGGTCTGAAGAGGGTAGTGTGTACGCAGACCTTACCCCTACCCTGAGGTAGAGAAGCTGTTTCCGATAGACCCTCGGTTCCCTCCCTCCAAGAATTCCCCACCTTGTTCTTGGGGTGACTCGAACTCATAACCTCTTGGTTGGAAGTGGAGGGTGCTCACCACTAGAGCAACCCATTATTGTCATTGGTACAGTTGCTTTGATCTTTCTCAAGATTAATAAAATTAAAATTAATCACGATTATACTTCCTAAATTTGGCCATCAACAATATCTCTTTTGTGCTTTAAAGATTAAGAACTACTCAAGAAGATATAATTTCCTGGGAAAACATGTTATCAGAAATAAGAATCTGATCTTTATTTGAGCCACTAAGTTTAATAATACATTTTCCCTATTATGTAATCATTTTTTTTATATTGACTGCGCATCTTTACGTTGCCCACTTCGGGAGACGACTTAATTAACCTAAAATGGGCAATTAATCATCTTCAACTCATCTTCAATGGGCTATAACATAAATTCCATTCCCTTAAATTTGTGGGAACTAAATATTTATTGATTACTTGTAACTTTTGATTTTTTTTATATTTTTTTTTACAGATATTCACTTTTGGGATTTTGTTACCAAGTATAGGTTATGCATTCACTTTTGGGATTTTGTTACCAAGTATAGGTTATGCATTGCATTTTCTATTAGTTGGTAATCAAAGTTTTTTTATGGATCACTTCTCTATCTTCATCCTGGAATGCAACTTACAAAGCTTGTCATACGAGCAATTCAAATCTAGAGACACCCTTTACACTCTACAATTCTTTTTGAGAGAACAACCAAGTACAAGATTGATGTGGATCTCCGTGTTTGCAATGACTATGACTCATTAGTATGAGTTCTCTTAATTGAATGTTCCAATCAAATTTGTTATGAATGTGTAGTGAGGTCAAGATGATATTTTTTTCTTTTCAGACTAAGATACGAACTATTGAATACTGACAACAAGAATGCACTAGAATTTTCATCTACAACAACAACAAAAAAAAACTTGGAGGTTTCTCTTTGTTAACTGTTTTTCTCTCGAATTTGTTATTGTTGCATTTCTGGTAATCTTAATGGACTTTGCTTTGTAGATACACTTAAAATTGGTGGAAGGCTCTTAAGATACAGTTTTATGAGAGAGTTTGAAAATGAGGAGCAATAGACATTAACAACGTTCCAATTTTTAGTGATGGAGATGGTCGTGGACAACTTTCAACCCAGGTTTGCACCTATTATAAAAAAAAAAATTCCATGTCTATCCGATAGTTAGGCTAAAATCAGTGGTAGAGATATGTTTGTTGATTAATTATGCACGATTTTAATGATTCAGTTTAGTGGTTAGACATGTTGGCAACTTAAAACTTAATTAATTGGTTAATGTGAATTTCTTCATCTCTTTATTTTTCATGTACTATTTATAAAACTATGAGTTGTTAAAGAAATCAATTGGCCTCAACCTTTCGGAGTTAATCTTTTTTGCTTCCCAGGAATTGATTAACGTATACTCCAAGGCATTCAAGGTCACTCACTAATGGACTACAAAATGCTTAATTTTCCATGAAAGTGAACTTTCAGATTGAGAAGTATCTGCCTATGAGAGTATAAATTTCAGTGATTTCTATTCCAAATGTTAACTAAAATTTAATAAGTTTTCTTGAGTTTAATAACTACTGAAAGCATATAAATTTGGGAGTGTTGTGGTACACCGTTCTTGTGCATAGTATGAATGTGTCTTGAATGAAGCAATATTTTTAAAATTTTAGATCATGTGAAGATGGAGTCTTTATTATCTGTTGAATCATTGACTTGGATGTATTGTTGGCTCCATGAAAAATTGTAGCAGGAGCATATACAAGTATCTGATACTATGAAACTTTAATATATTTGAAGTTTTGTCTTTCACTAGAATGTTTAAAGATCTCATGAATTATTCTGTTTGTAATATAAAAGAGTATATCTACATAACTTTAATTTTAACAGGTTAAATATTTTTACTTGCTTGATAGATACTTGTTTGGGTTCATTAAGACGGAGAAGCATTTTATTTAGATGAAGCTATATGTTATTCGACGTTTTGGCTTTCACTTGCAAGTGTTTAAAGATCTGATCAAGTTTTCTCTTTGTATGATAGAAGAGTATATTTATATAACTTCAATCTTGACGAGTTAAATATAGTTAATTACTCGGTAGATGCTTGTATTGGTGTCGTTAAGATGGAGGAGCGTTTTATTTAGCTTGAAGCTATAGGTCCTTTATTTGAAGTTTTGGCTTTCACTTAAGTGTAAAGATCGCATTTTAAACAATATTTAGGGGTGTACAAACCAAACCGATAACCCGCACCAACCCGAAAATCCGAGTCAATCCGGAAAAAAAACCCGACTAGTGGTTTGGTTTGACTTGGTTTGGTATTGAAAAAAATAAAACCCGACCATAATAGGGTTGGTTTGGTATTAACTAAAAAAAGTCAAACCGAAACCAAACCAATCCGACATTACATGCATACATATTTTATATATTAGATAGATAAAAATATTTATTAGAATGTAAGTTATAAATATTTCTTAATTTTTTTTATAATTTCTGTATTTAGCATAATATTTTAAGTTAGTTTTATAGCCCATGTAAATATTTGTTTTTGTCTGGCCTATAAAAGAATAATTGAGCCCAAACCAAAACCTAGTCCTAAAGCGAAACTAGATTAGTCCTAAAGCTGTTCTAAAATACTTAAACAATTGAAATCATTTTGTCTCTTCTCCAAAAGCAAGAAACCCTATCGTTCCATTCCAAAACCCACAATTAGCTCAAACCCTATCAATTCTCTTTTGCTCTCATCGGTAAGGCTCTTCCCTTTCTCATTTTACATGTTTTCTTTTAACTACATACATACGCCTTGCTTTTTCCCAATTAACTAAGATTTTTTTTTTTCGATTAGCGAGTTTTTTTGCAAATCTGTTGTATTCCTCCCTATTATCGAATTTATTTATTTATTTTATTTCGCTTGGATTATTAACATGATTAATTGACTGTTACTTAAAAAGATATTGAAACTTTTTTACTTATATTTTGAATCATTTGGTTAAATAATATGGACTATGTAAAATTAAGAGTGATGTATTTCCTACATTATTTCTTACATTTATGTATTTCCAAGGAATATAAGTTTGAAGACATGTTAGAGGAAGTCCAGAAAATTGAGCAAGTTGAAGAAGGTAATAATTTATATTCAATTGCTAATGAGTATAGTTATTTTTTTATATTATTTAATATTAAATATGTTAATTGTTTCTTTTCTTTCGGAATATGCAGACTCACCTTTGAGGATTGATTAGAGGGATAGTTGACTACAATTTGCTTCATGATTATTTTTGGAATTTTTACTACTTTAAGATAATTAATTAAAAGAAAGTTGGTGCATGATTTTTAATCGATTAAGAAGCTTTTGTATTACATTGTTTCTTTAAGGTTCAGTTGATTTGACAGTTGGAGAAATTAGACTTTTTACAATACTTAAAGCAATTGATTTGTCCATGATACTCCAACCTGCTCTTTCTAATTATTTATCTAAGGTTCAATTGAAGTTGGACATGTCAATTGCTTTAAGCTTTTATTAGCATTTTAGTGTAAAGTGAAAAATAATTTATAAAGTAGAGACCTTTATAAAGTGGAACCATACAACCTATTGACTAGCATAGATGAGGTCAATGCTAAAAAATAAAAATATGGTTATTATTGATAAAATTGTATTTAGGACTATAGAAATATTTGGAGCATAAGTTTATCGGGAAAAAACCCCGAGAAAACCCGATATTGAAAAACCCGACTTTTGTTGGTTTGGTTTGGTCTATAGATTTAAAAATCCGATACAATTAGTTTGGTTTGATAATTTACAAAATCCAAATAAGCCCGACCTATGTATACCCCTAACAATATTGAAGGTAAAAGTGTATTTTAAAAAATTATATGTGCAATGGTATGCTACGTGTTGTACAAGGTCATTTACCAGTTTAGTGAAGATAAATTTATTTTAATAAAAGTTAGCAAAAATATTTTAATATCTTCGCGCGAGGTATAATCACTAGTAATAGTAATAAAAGTAAATCAAGTAAAAAGACAGGCTTAAACTGAAAGGACTAACTGATACGGACCACAACAGAACTTCCATAAGTGTCTTCAATTTTCTGCTGAATCTTCTTGGCAGAGTTCCCAACAGTTTTTGCACTGTCGCTTATATCAATTAGCTGAAGTGTGGTTATTTCTGCAAAATCTAGGGGGATCCAATACATGCTCCAACAACAGTTAACCACTAGTCGTTCAAGGCGTGGAAAGTGATCACTATTAGCTCTCCAGTGGTGTAAGTACAAATGCTTCAGTCGCAACAACTTCAAGTTTGGAAACCCGTCGTCGCCTACTATCCAATCTGTACCAATGCAGGCATCATATCCAAGTTTGAGGGCCTCGAGTTTGGGCAACTTACCAAGAATCCCCAAATCATCCCAAGGCAAACGAGTACAGGTAAAAGATGTAGGATACAATGGCCTTCCATTAGAAACCATCTTTCTAATCTTAAATTTCAATTCCTTAACCTGATCCAAGTAGCAAAGATGATGAAAAGCCTTGTTCTTGTTACTTCTTATGTAGTCTTCTTGGACACCACATATCTGCAACTTCTTTACATTGGGAAGTCGTCTAAAGACTGATAAAGTACAAGACAAAGGATTCCACCCGGACAGACACTGCAAATTTCTAAGAATCCAACTTTCTCTAGACTCATGTTGATTCCAGATAGACATATACTGCAAACTTCTCAGAATCCAACTTTTCCCTCTAGACTCATGTTGATTCAAGTAATTCCAGTCTAAAGAGAGGTGTCTCAATTGCGACATCTTGAAAATTTCTGATGGTAATATGAAAGGTCGAGAATACTTCCACGGGATAGATGATGGAGACGTAAGTACTAAAGTTTGCAAATACTGAAGGCTAGCTACTGATGGAGGTATGTAAATACCTCGATCATTAGTGTACGAGTAAACACTCAAAGCTAAGTATCGCAAGTGAAATAGTTCAACTACACAACTGGGAAAAGCATGCAACGTCTGTGAAGCAAGATCTAGTACTCTTAGTACCTTGAAACGCTTCAACTCATTGCATCATTTTTGAGCTTGAGGGATCTTCATTAAAAAGGAAAACAGAACATGACTCATTATTACGAAACATAGACAACTGATTGGCAACAAATTTGGATTGCACAGATTGGATACTGATCCGAACTCGCTTTGTGGAAAAATGCCTGGATTCTTCACATGGAATTCGATTATCCATAATAACATTCACAAAATTTATGTTTCGAGCTTCTCTCAAGCAGAGCTCACGGATCACATCATGCATTCCGCAAGCTTTTATCTTTCCATCAAAACTACCCACCTTGTGGATGAAAATTAAACTTCTATCCACAAGATCTTTTATACATTTTTTAGCCACTTCTTCCATGCTTTTCATCTCGTCTACCTTCAGAAAACCCTCTGCTGCCCATAATTTCACAAGTTTATTCACAAAAATCAATTTATCCTCGGGGAAGATTGCAAAATACAGAAAGCATGGCTTTAGGTGATGTGGCAAGTGATGGTAACTCAAAGCCAACACTCTCATGCATTGGACTTTAAGATCTGTGCTTACCACTGAACTTACATTCTCGGCAACACGTTTCCATTTATCCCATGCATTACCAATTTTGGAAAGAAGTCCAGCAACAACAACAACTGCTAGAGGTAATCCTCCGCATTTCAGTGCAATATGTTTCCCAAGTTGTTCAAATTCAGGGGGGAAATAGTCTTTTACAAAGACCTTTTCGGACAATAAACTCCAACTTTCATCAAAATTCATGAGGCGCATTTTATAAGGAGGCTTACCTGAGCTAGCATATTCAGCCACCTTCATATTCCGAGTAGTCAAGAGTATTCGGCTTCCATAGTTACAGTCTGGGAAGCATAGTTTAATATCATCCCAAGCTCCTTTAGTCCATATGTCATCAATGACTACCAAATACCTCCTACCTTTTAGAAGCTTTTGCAATCGATCTGCTAGTTGCCCATCATCTTGCTCCTCATAAGGTTCATCAGCCTTTCTACATATGGAAGAAAGAAGGCCGAGGAGTACATTTCTCGCGCAATACTCTTGTGATACAGTAGCTTTTGCACGAATATCAAAGCAAGACATAATGAATGGATCGGTGTAAATTTTGTTAGCCAAAGTTGTCTTGCCGATGCCTCCCATCCCTACAATTGAGACAACTTCTAGTTCCCTTGCTCCTCTAGATAGTTGATCCACCAGCATCTCGAATTCATTTTCATGGCCAACCATCATGTTCTCGGGCTCTAAGGCATGTTGAGATGTACTGGCGAGAGTCAAATTTTGTACTTCAAGATCTTTGCTTTTGGCGTACCTAATTCTCTGCATAGCCACCCACTTGTTCATCGTGGAATCAATGTGTTCTACCACTTGTTCCAGGAAACAATAGAGTTTCCAGAAAGCTCTGCCTCGTAAAGAATCTTTTTTTGCGCGTAGAACTTCTATTGATTTTGAGTCAACCTCGTCTCCTGCTTTGTATGCTAGCTCTGCAATTTCGCTTCCAAGCTTGTTAATGCCTCAAGATCGTCTGTTATTTTGCAATATTTCTCCAAAATAGTGATCAACAATTCAAGCTTATCATAGAATGTTTGCAAATTACATCCAGTAAGTCATGTTGTCCTCCCTCTTAGTTGTACTTTTTCCCAAGGTATGTGAACGTACCCTTTGCATTCAATAACTTTTCATTAGTCCAACGTTCAAGAAGAGTCCTCATGTCATCTAATAGTTCTACTACGGGCAGCTCTCTTGCATCTTTTGTTACCGCATTCAATGACTCTGCAATGTTTGATGTCATCCTCCACGTTCTGTTCACCGTAGCATCTACCTGAGACCATCTGTGATAGCCAATATCGCATAGGTATGCTTTAACATACATGTCGATCTTTTCAATCTTTGACATTCTTTCATTAAATTCATCAAGCGTGTATGATCGTGCCGTGGAAAAGTACAATTCGCTTAACTTTAGATGACCCTTCTTGAACTTTGACCTTACATTTGTCCAAATATGCCACATGCAAGCATAATGCGGTATGCCGGTATAAACAGTAGATGTTGCCTTCAAGATACTCTCATTCCGGTCCGAAACAACACACATATTTGGTTTTTCACTATATGCATGTTTGAATTGCTCAAAAAATTACCTCCATGATGCGTCATTTTCTGAATCAACAACAGCGTATGCTAGTGGTAATATGCTGCCTATCACACAGGTGGCAAAAAAAAATCAATTTCAATAATAAAACTTGAGAGTATAAAAAATACTGACTGAAAAATAACTTTGTAACAATATTTCTACAATTAATCTACAATATATATTGTATCCATTGTGCTAGTTGTTAACATGATTCCCCTATAAGCCGACTTCAAGAAGGTGCCATCAACTACTACAACTGGCCTACAATACTCTCAACCCTTGATGGACGTACTAAGTGCAATAAAGGCGTACAAGAATCACTCATCTTCAGTCTTCTGCAATTTCACTACCAACCCCGGATAAGTCTTCTCCAGAATATACAAATAACTCGGCAAACGACTGAGGAATCAGCAGGATGACCTCTCAAAAATGCCAAAGCCTTTTCCTTTGCTCTCCAAGCTTGCATGTATGTTAAGTTTACACCATGATCCGACAACATATCAGTTTGCATGTCTTTTGGTATTTATATTGTCTTAGGATCCGCATATTTTGGCATCACTATGCTGCCAACTACCATGGCAGTAGGTTTGCGTTGTATGCATGTGTTGTCCATCAAAGAGCATGTGTGCAAGCTGTTGAATTTTCGAACCTTGAATAATGTTGATTCGTTTATGCTGGTGGACTTGAAGTGCCATATAGAATTATCCCAAACACATACGAGGCAGTAGCTACAGAATAAAAATAATTCAAAAAATGTTATGAAAAATGTAGCTACAAAATACGAGGTTGTTTAAGCATAAAAATCTTATATTAAATAATTTATATACAAAAAAAACTACAAATTATACAAAAATATAAATTTGACAAATGAAATATTCCTACCTTCTTGTACTAGACCTTTTCGCCCTAAATTGAAATTTATTATGACATAATAGTGCTTTATTGTACTGACAATTGTTTGTTTGTCTTGGTAAACTTGGCCTACTTCAATGACATTTGGCGTATGTTCTGTTATGATGATACTTTCATATTCTACAATTGCCGGAGATGTTGGCCTATCAATCAACTCCACCGTTCCTGATACTTTTCCAATTGTTTTACAATTGTTTGACAATTGTACCACGTTAGACATACGATAATCAGATGAACCTGCACTCAATTAAAAGTATCTACAATTCAGGCCTCTGTATATATTTATGTGTTCAGTATTTGACAGAATACTTGAAGAGACATAATAGTTGAACTACATTTGTTATGTAGTATTGTTGTAGATAAGTTATAGTAAAACTGTAGAACACGTGAAATTGAATACTTGAATAGACATAACAGTTGAACTACATTTGTTATGTAGTATTAATGTAGATAAGTTGTAGTAAAATTGTAGAACATGTGAAATTGACAAAATACCAGCATTGAAAAAACAGAGCAAACCTGCGATGTGCTCAAATTAGAGATAATGCATTCCAAATCGAAATCACACACTGTTATACACAGTGAATACATTCCTAAGTTTTTGTTTTCCTTTTTCGTCGCCATATATACTCAAACTCCCATATCGTTCCGAATTTCCATTGGAGGACAACGTTCGTTGACATTGTATTTGATTTCGATGATTTTTGCGGAGGTATCGATCATTAGATGCTCTGCAATTACAGAATTCAATTGACTATAATTTGAATCTTCATTGACTACAATTCCATCAATATTAAAATCCTTCATTACTTACCCGTCCCTCCCCTCAATCCCTTTTATGAGTGGCATATGTGAGCCTTTTAGTTAAGTTTAGTGTCCTATTAGAGCCTAACTTATGTTAATTTTCTGTTTATCACTCGATTCATGGCATTCAACTTTTTAGAATCATATTCCTATACAAAAACCTCCCTCTTTTCTAATTTTATGTAACAAACTTATAAGAACAAGTTTGTCTCTCACACTATACAATTATTATCTTGCATGAAAAAACTATGCTCACTTATTTAATTGGTTTATGAATCTAATCCTATTCTATATCATTCAAAAAATTTACATACTTTACGGCTCTTAAAATGATTTTAAAAAACACATAAAATTTGTTTAAGAAAAAAAAAAAAAAAGACGGGCGTAACAGAGAGTACACTAATGAGGTACTGCTGGGTATGAAAAATATTTATGAGTGTGTGAATTAAGAGTATGTATGCATTTTCATGGTGAAATTTGGGTATTACATAGGTTAGGACGTGGTGATGGCGTGAGAAAATAACATGAAATTTGTTTAAGATAAAAAAAAAAGATGGGCTTAAAATAGAGTACACTAATGAGGCATAGCTGGGTAAGGAAAGTACATACGAGTGTGTGAATTAAGAGTATGTATTTTCATGATAGAATTTTTGGGGTGCTACAATGGTCGGTAAGGGTGTTTATGGTTTGGTATGGATTGGTTTTTCTCTAAAAAGAAACTAAACTAAATAAGTCGATTTTTTAAGTATTGGAACCAAATCAAACCAATTAAGTCATTTTTTTATCGATTTGGTTTATGTTAGGTTTTCGATTTTTTTTAAAAATTTTTGTCGGGTTTTTTCTTAAAGATGAGACATACACTACCAAACACATATCCTGGAGACTACGTAACACTATCAAACCAATTACTTTTTGAGAAATCTATCATTTACCAAGATATATTGATGATAATTGAATCAAATAGTAATGAATTATTTAAGAACTCAATTAAAAATAAATTATTTTTTAACATGAAATAGATTCAAAAGAAAAATACAACTAGAATGTAAAGGCAAAAAAATAAATTATTATAATAGCAAAAAACTAGACTAAAAGTACAAATTAAAATGGACCATAAAATTTAGAAACTTTATATAAAATATACACATACACACAC